AGGGCCAGCGGTGGCCATGCTCCCTGGCACACCCTCCCCACCCCCCGTGGTTTAACGGTTACCTTCCACCCTTCACCAACACGAGCTCCAGTGAGCGATGACGTCATATTTTTTTCCCCTTCCCCAAAACACAACCCAGCTCACAGCTCCGAAGAGGCTGGTTTTATGGAAAAACAGCAAACACCAGGAGGCTCGCTCCGCCAGCGCACAGCGCCACGTTGCCTCTTCCCCGTGCGAAGAAAAGGAGGTGGCCGCAAGCCGGCGCGGCCATCTTTGCCCCCGAGGGCCTGCCCAGGAGCTGGGAGGTGGCCCTCCGCCACCCCCCCAGGGCGAGGCTTTGCGTACGGCCCAGCCACGCGCAGCTGGAAGGAAGCCGGTCTGTCTCTAAGCCAGGGGCTCTCTGTGCCTGGAGGCCCCCACGCTTCACCGGTGGTGACGGATGGCACTCAGGTAGCGCAGCCTCCACCTTCCAAGCCCTCCTCGCAACGGCGTGCAGCAGGAGGCGAGACAGGGAGGGGATCGCCACCAGCCCCTGCTATATTTGAAGTCCACTTTCGAAGTTACGCTGCCTGCTCCTAGTTTTTGAATTTTCAGGACAAAACCCACCATCTGCCATCGTCGAGCTTAAGCATCAGGGTAGTCAACTGGACTGAACAAAAAAAGGCTTAAGCAGCCCTAAAGAAATCCCTCCTCGTCCTACCGACAGCAGGAAGAACCGTATTTAACAATGTGCTCAATGTAGCTCCGCGGCCTGAACACAGACTTCCACAGTGACACCGATAGAAGCCTGTTCAGCTGTGAGAAATATTAACAGGCTCTCTGCTCCTCTAAGTACTTATTAATGGGACTGTTTATCACCTCAAAAGTTCCAGCACTTTGGGAAATCTATGTTACATGGACTGGAAACACAGGCACTCAGGGATAAAAGTCTTACACAAAGGGACTCAAGGTATTTCTTTAGCAGGTTCAAGACTTGTGGCTTATTCCTTCCAATCAAGTCCCTACTTGATTCGTGCCAGGTAGAACACCCAGAAACAAATCCTGCAACTCCCCAAACTCAAGCCAGGTTTTAACCATTTGTTTTCAGTTCAGCTGTCAAAAGTCAATTCATCTACACATCAAAAGAGGATTCAGGAAGTAACAGGGAAAGGTCTCTTCTATTTCATCTTAGTCCGCCTGTCAGAGTAAGACTGTGGGTGGCCTCCACCCATTGCAAACCCAGAGCACCAAGGTGTTCTCTGAAGAACAACCTTTGCATTCAGTTGCAATCACCCTTGTCCTGGCATGGTTCAACCAAACAGATCAATGTTCTTTGTACAGGATAATTTTTTAAAATACATTATCTCATTTCTGTTACACAATTTCAATAACGCATGAATAAATTTAAACAGCTGGAATACTAAGGTAATTTCAAAAAAAAATCCCTAACAATGGTCCTTTCAAACTTAACCAACAAAGGCATGTTTAGAAATAAAGAGCTGAATACAGTTCCCAAAGTCCTGAGAAACAGGAGCATTCAAGGGCACAGTTTGCCCAGACAAAACCCATTCTCTTCCCCACCACTCTACTTTTTCGTTAGCTTCTTAGAGTAGTTCTTGGCAAACTGCTTTCGTACCTCTTCCTGTCTCTTTCCAAATTTGAGTGTATTGATCAGGTTTAAGGTTTTTTTCAGTTCATGTACAGGCTTGCTTACAAAGGCACAGTATTTCCTTTTTGGAACAAATTCCAAAGCCTTCTTCCAGTCTCCAGTATCTTTCAAGGTTAATAAAATACGCATCATTTGATCCAGGGTGAGATTTTTGGCACCACTATTCCAAAGCAAGTACTTGTCCAGCGGAAGGGCTGCAGTCTCCAGCCCCAGTCGCTTTGCCCGTGCTAACGAGACTCCTGTTTTTATGCTCCTGTCAACCATTGACCCGACAATATAGATTTTATTGTGATCAAATGTTTTCATTACTCTGGGAGAATCAGCAGTCAGATAGACCAGCTTATCCTTTGGAAAGACTTCAGTGTAGCACTGGTCTGTCACAGTGATGAGCAATTTGCCCCAAGCCTCTCTATAATGCCTGATAAACTCCTTATGATAGAGGCTGTCGTCTCTGAAGTTACAGAAGTGGATGTGGAACGGGTCCACAGATCTTCGATTGAAGCCTTCACTTAATACCATCTGTCTCACTGTATTCTCAACTTCTCGGACAGACATATCTTTTTCGTAAGACATGTCAAATACCAGAGGTTGGCCAAAGACCATAGACTGAGCAGCCTTCCAGTTGTATGCTCTGTCCATACCACTGGCCCACAAACATATGAATGAGCTCCTTTTGGTCTCATCAGCTTTGGAGGCTTCCTCTTGTGTTTCCAGCCTCCTTTCCCTCTTCTCATCCATCTTTCTTTTGTCATTTTTCTTGTGAAGTTCTTTGGTATGCAAATATTTTAAATACTTCTTTTTGGCTGACTTGGAAGGACACTCCACAAAGGTTTTTAGCTGTTCTTCACTGATATGTTCTGGAACCTTTCTGCCAGCTAGTCTCCACATCTCCAAAATCTCACGTGCAGCAGCCAAAGAGGAAAGCTCCTCCTTATGCTCAGAGATGGTCTCGCCGACTTCTTCTTGCAACCCCGACCTCATTACCTTCTTCCACGCATCTAAATCTAGTTTTTCTGAGGGACCGCATGACTTGTCCTGCTTCAGGCAAAGCGATAAACTCAGAGCTCTACTGAGTGGAAACAAATCCTTTTTCATCCCATGTTGTGCAGCAAATGGAAGGACAGAACTTACAACTTTTTTCAGAAGCATATTAGCAGACTGCATACTTAGACATGTGCTCTTTTCAAACACTTATCTGCAAAACATCAATCAGAGGGGAAAAAACTTGTCAGAAACCATAAAGAAAACACACACAGATTTCCATCCTTAGCAACACTGACAGACAGTAACTTACTTCTTGGAGAATACTAGAAGTTCTTGCTTCCACTATTACTTTTCTACTGTTTTCTAAAAAAAACAAACCCACATACGTGGCACTGCTGTGAATAGACATGGTTAGCTCTGCTGCTGAAAAGAGCTATACTTATGGCAATTCAAAATGTGGTCAAGAAACCTTGAAGTATTGTCTAAGATCTATTTAAATTACCTGTATCGTATGACAAATAAGAACCTTTGCAACCAAAGTCAGCAAAATCCTGCATGGAGAATGAAAATATTTTTATCCGCATCCAGAGGTACCTACCTAATTTACCTCTACCGTGAAAATGGACAAGAGGCTTCATCCTGCAACATTTTCTGGAACAACTCTGTATCACAGAAGATTATAGTTTTGCTTTTACCATTATATTTTGGGAAAGCTCTATTTGCAAACTTCAGTAGTAAAGTGATCCTCTCCTATGCACTTCCACACTGTGGGTCTCTGGAACTACCAACGCTACAGTTTTGCTAAGCCAACACTACTGCCATTGAAGGCACTCTGACGTCCCACCAGCCTCTTGTTCCTGGCTCCCTCAGCACTGCAAGCATTCACATGGCCGCACTATGAGCCAAATCAGAGACCCGATCTTAGGGATACCTAACCAGGAGGTGGAGAAAGGAAAAAAAGCTAGTTAGCACCCACCCAAATGAGTTTCCGCACCTGATCCACCAGACACCTCCTAGAAAGGAGAGATGGAAGAACAAACAACTAGTAGAGGAAAAGACCATCTTTCTTGTTTCTGCAAAATAGCCTGTGAAGTTGATGCTGGCACAGAAGGGACATGAAACCCACACTGCCATTAAGTTCATTTGTATTTAAATGTAAAAGATCTGCAGAAAGAAAACCACCAAAGAATGTTTAATGCGTTCTTTGCCCTATGCAAACTTACTTTGTGAAGTTTCAATGTTTGAGAAAACATGATTTGGTCAAAACATAAGAATTAGCTCCAAATTTTTAAAGCAAAATTCATAATCTCTCCAATAACTTACCACCTGAAAATAATGTGATATACAGGAAAACAAGTTAAAGCTAATTCTGGAGTTACATACCTGCCCAGATAAGGAGCCACAGATGGAACACCGTATTATTAGGAAACGTTATATAAACTGGCATGTGTTTTAAGATACTGTAACTGGTCAAACTGGTGACTGACCTTGCGTTTTCCACTGTTATTAAGATAAAATGAACAAAAAAACCCCAACCAACCTCATAGTGTGAAGTTAAGACAAAATTCCTAAGTGTTTTAATGGAGAAGTTCATAATTTTACATTTAAGTATTACACGTACTGGCAAAAGTCATAATCAAAGAAGTAAGTTGTCTAGCTTGGAGAAATCAAGGGATCAGTTCCTCCATGAACTTACATTACTGGAGCACCAATTAAGTCAATAGTCAAAAGGCAGATTTAGACAATCTGCATACCTGATGGCAGCTTTAGTTAAAAGCCAAGTTACCTTTCACAGCATCCAACATGTACACTACCCCCTCATTACTGCAAAAATTACTCTAAATCTATTTGAAGAACCTAGATTTGTAGGACTGAAAATATTTTCCCAATACTTTTTTTTTTTTTTTGCTCCAGCATGACCTCACTGTGACTAACCCCAGGAACAGAAAGGCCCTTCAGTAGTATTTCAGAGACTGACTAACCCGCCATACCTCCCCAGCACAGATGCCCGCACCGGGCTGCCCACACGCCCGACCCCCGCCCAGCGACGCGGGCCCGAAGGCTCCGTGGGGAGCGCGCCAGCGCAGGGCAAGCAGTGATGGGGTTTAACTTTCAAACCGGCCCACAAGTGAACCGAATGGCGACAAGCCAGGTCAACATCTCAAAGCACCGCGTTGCACCGTACAGGCCCCCACGGGAACACC